TAGACCAAAAGCCTCTCTAATTGCCTACATTTTTAAGCCTATCACACAACCACAAGCTTTTCTATCCCCTCATGAGTGTTCAGAGAAGACATGCTGTGACACAAATGCCAGACAACCACCAGATCCCCAGCCATCTGTGTTTGCCCACAGGTGCACACCCTATGTGTCTGCACACGTGGTAACTGGCAGTTCACACCCTGGAGGCTGAACTCTACTCAATGCTTTGTAGCTCCGTAACATGGTAAGTAAGTAAGCAGTGTCTGGATTTAGCTTTGGAAGTAGTCAGAAGATGTTCTTGCGCTTCATTTCTAGAACGCATCACCTATCCCATGATATCAGCTCTAGGACTGAGTGAGCACCTGCCTGTATCAGGCAAGCTCTGCGTGCAGTCATATATATTCTCCAAACTACCAGTGTCCTGCCAGGGAATTCACTAAGCAGCCAAACCAGTCTAGCAGTGATTCCCATAGTCATTGGCAGGCAATGTAGTAACAGCAATTTTCCCAGTTAAGCTCCAACTGTCCCTGAGTGCTTAGGGAACTCAGTTGGACTCAGACCAAGGAGCAAACTATTATCTTCTGAGGGTGGAGCTCAATGCTCAACGTATTTGTATGCTGTATTTCAGCATACAGGTAGGGTCTAGGATCTTGGTTTTATAGCCTAGCAAGAGGATGTAGAAGAAAACAGTATTTATCTGAGGTCACAAAGTCCATAAGAGATTTGGGAGTCTGAATGACTCCTCCCCCTATACTTTAAAATCATTTCTGGATGGATCAAGGGCATAAAGTGGAAAGACAAAACTTTACAACTTTTAGAATACAGAATATTATTTGAATTTGATTTCAAGGCAGTATTCTTCTCACCAACCTCAAAGCAAACATTCATGAATTCACGTACATTAAAATTAAGAACTTTAATCCCAGCAATCAGGAGGCCCAGGCAGTAGGATCTCAAGTTCCAGGCCAGCCTGGGAGAGACCCTATCTTCTGTTTATCAGAAAATACCATAAGGGGAAGGGGGGAGGAGAAAATGACACCAAACTAGGGGAAGGTATTGGTAAAATGTATTAGCCACAAAAATCTGGTACATAGATTGTACAAAGTAACTACAAATCAGTTTTAAAAGACAGGGCTAGAGGTGTGACTCAAGCAGTAGTGCACCTACCTTCCTCACAAGCACGAAGCCATGAGTTCAAATTCCAGAATTGAGGGGGGAGAAAAAGAAAAAGACAACCTAAAATAAGCAAAAGGTGGGCACAAGCAAAAAAAAAAAAAAGATGCCCAGCCTCATTAATGTGCATTTCCATAGAACTTAACTCACAATGACACTTTGTATCTATTAAGACTAGCAAAAAAGTTAAGTCCATTAATCTAATGATAGTGAAAATGTAGTTCAACATTTTAGAATGTGGTACAGTAAACTGCTACAACTGTTTTGAAAGTAACTTGATGTTACAGCATCCCTGCTGGCCCAGTAATGCCATTCCTGGACATTTGCCAAGAAAGTTGCATGTCTCGCATACACACGCACACAGACTGCTCATACCAATACTGCTCTGATAATGGTACCTCGTCCACCCCCCCCAATAAAAACAACTCTAGTTACTCAAACGTCCACTAACACAAAAATGAATAAACTGTGCTACACTCACATTTCAATGAAAACAAATGAGTTATATGTATCAAAACATGGCTGAACCTTAAAATAAGGAAGTGGCACAAGTATGGAAATGGTAAACTACCATTGATACAAAGTTCAAACACAAAAGAAACTAAGTGATGTACTGTTTAGAAGTACATGCCTAAAAAGATTAACACATTATTAGAAAAAAGTGTATCACATGACACAAACTTAAAATTCAACATTTTGACTATACCACACATTCAAGCTGCACAGGCCCACCTTGCAGCAACTGGTAAGTCACATGGCAAGACTCTCCTGAGCAGAAGTGTCCTCTCACACTGAGAAATCACAACTACTAGCTGGGTGTGGTGGTGCACTTAAGAAGCTGAGTCCAGAGGATCACCTGAGCCCAGGAATACGGAACCTACCTGGGCAACACAGTAAGACCCTATCCCAACACAAAAAGTCTGAGCAGAGACTCCTCATCTTTTGGCAGGTTTAAAAAGAATTTCTACTGTGATCAAAAAGACAAGTACTGGCAAAGATGTGCAAAAACTGGAAACCTCATACATTGCTGATGAGAATGTAAAATGGAGCAGTCACTTTAGAAAAGTCTGGCAGTTCCTTGAAAGGTGCTCAAACATAGGTACCATATAACCTATGTTCCACCCCAGGTATATACCCAAGAAAAATGAAAACAGGGGCTGGAGATGTAGCTTAAGACACAGAGCACCTGCTTTGCAAGCCCAAAGCCCTAAGCTCAAACCCCAGCTCCAAAAAAAAAAAAAAAAAAAAAATGTTGCCCAACACTGATGTGGGGTTGGGAGATCTTATTTGGGCACCTGTGAAAAGTGGACCCAAGGGCCAGGAAGGTTTGTAGCCACAGTAGTCTCTGCAATCAAGCTCTTAGTTCCAGCCTGCGTTCACATAGTAGACTATTTCCCATGTTCACTGCAGCATTATTCACAACAGCCAAGAAGTGGAAGCAACCCAAGAGTCCACCAGCAGATCAGTGGATAAAGACAATGTGGTCTACAGTCACACAATGGAACATTAGTCAGCCTTTAAAAGGCATGAAATTAAGCCAGAAGAGACTGTACTCCTAGCTACTTGGGAGCCTGAGATAGGGAGGATTATGGTTCAAGGCATACAGGGCAAATAGTTCATGAGACCCACATCTCCAAAATAATCAGAACAAAATGGACGAGAGGTATGGCTCAGTGGTAGAGCGCCTGCTTTGCAAGCATGAAGCCCTAAGTCTAAACCCCAGTTACACATGCAATCTTTTTTGTTTTTTAAATAAAAGGACTAAAATTCTCAGGATGGTGGAGTGGCTTAATCTCTCAGTGCCCACCTAGCAAGCCTGAGGCCCTGGTTCAAACGTGAGTACCAGCATCTAAAAAAAAAAAAGGGAAGGATTACATAAAATGAGGGGACTGTTTGAGGATAGGGACCAGTGGAGGGGAGGTGAAAGGAGAAGGTTAAGGGGTGTGTGTGTGTGTGCGTGTGTGTGTGTGTGTGTGCGTGCGTGCGTGTGTATTTCACATGCATGAATACAGAAAATGAAACCTATTAACTGTTTTAAAAGGGAGAAGGGGAGAAATGAAAGATTAATAGAGGGAGTGAATTTGACCAAAGTACATTGTATGTATGGAACTATCACCACGAAACCCCTTTGTACAAATACTATACACTAATAAAAAATACTGTTGACTCCACTTTGAGGTATCAGAACAGTCAAATTCACAAAAACAGAAAGGAAAAGGGTAATTACCACAATGTGGTGGGAGAACAGGAGATGTTCAATGGATAGTTTCAGTTTTACAAGATGAAAAAGTTCAAGATCTGCCGCACAATGTGCATATAGTTAAAACTCATCAACATTTACAACTGTTTAAGATGGTAAATTTTATGTTACATGTATCTGGATATACAGACATGTAGCTTCACCCCAGATTCCTCAACTCTAAAATGAAGATAGGACCCTCACAGAGCTGGGTCAAAGGAAATGCTACACAAAATAAATGTTCAATAAACAGCTAAATTTAAAAACAATGAATGTCACAATCCTGTAGTAACTTTAAAATATTTATAATCCCAGCACTTGGGAGGCAGAGGCATCCAGCTTTGGATACATACTGCGAATGCATGTCAGGCACTGCTGGCTCACACCTATAATCCTAGCTAATTGGGAGAATGAGATAAGGAGTATCCAGGTTTGAGGCCAGTCCAGGCAAACACTTCAAGAGACCCCATCGCCACAATAACTAGGGCAAAATGGAATGGAGGAGTGGCTCAAGTGGCAAAAAACCTGCTTTGCAAGCATGAAGCCCTGACTACTGTAAACTCCAGTGTGGCCAAAACGACCCCCCCCCCCAAAACACACAGCAACAGAAAATGGGCTTCGGGGGGGCATGGCTCAAGAGCACCTTTTAGCAAGCATGAGGCTCTGAGTTCAAACTCCAGCACCAGGGTTGATGGGAGTGGGTCAAGTGGTAGAGCATCTGCCTTGCAAGCATGAGGCGGAGTTCAAACCCCAGTACTGCCAAAGAAAAAACAAAAACAAAACTCTAGCATTGCCAAACTCTAGTACCACTAAAAGTAATTATGTAAAATAACTTTTTATTTTTCATAATGAGCTCAGTGAACAGGCAGGCTCTGTACTTGCTTACATGACATCCAGCATTCAGAGGGTCCCCAGGACTTTAAACAGTCGGGAGAAGGATCAAGTGTTTATACTAGGAAAAACCCCATAATAAAGGATACAGAGGACTAAGTACAAGGGTCAAATACATTTGAACCTCTGCGTTAGGAGCTCAGAAGCCATCCTCTCTGAACCATCAGGTTAACACTTTTGTGTCATCTTGACCTCCAGGTGGCTCACTCCAGGTGGACCTACCACCAGCATCTTTTAGAACCATTGCTCAGTCTTCAGTCTGTGCTTGAACCTTTAAGAAAATGGGCCAAAATGGGCAAGTCCTGCTGCCAAAGCTGTTTGTAAAATGGTGGTGGGCGGGGGATAGGGTAGGCATGGAAAGAATGAAAGGAATGGTATCAGATAAAGCAAATTCCAAAGAGAAGTGAGAAATTTTTTCCAAATAAAGGATAAAACTAGCTGGGCATCAGTGGCACATGCCTGTAATCCTAGCTACTCAGGAGGAAGAGATCAGGAGGATTGACATTCAAAGCCAGCCCAGGCAAACAGTTCACGAGATCCTATCTCAAAAACACCCATCACAAAAATAGGGCTGGTGGAGTGGCTCAAGGTGTAGACCCTGAGTTCAAGCCCCAGCACCACCAAGAGATGAGAGACAAGAGACGAGAGACGAGAGAGAGAGAGAGAGAGAGAGAACAAAACTAGAGAATGTGATACTTACGTAGGTACGTGGCATTTATTCCAGGAAAGCACTTCCCCTGATGAAGGAGAAATCACCACCAATGTTCTCACCCCTACAGGTGCCTGGTCTTCTCGAGCTGGGACCACATTTCCAACCTTTGGGAGGTCAACATCATGATTCAGTCCTTGACTATCTCGTCATCCCAAACGCTTGACCCTCCCCCAGTTCACACATCTTCTAGGCAAGGCTCAATCAACACCCCCCAAGTCTGCACTAGATCTGCCCTTGCATTCTGGACATGTAGCTCTATCCTGCCTACAGGATACTGTATACTTCCACAGGAAGTCACACAGTAATGTGTTATCACAGGACTAAAGTGACCCCATTTTCTCTAAAACCTATCAAAGCAAGTTGCTAACAGCACTGTTGAACATTCCAGTCCCCTTCAAAAGTTAACTTACCACATGGGGCAGCAGCTACCATGCCACTAACTAGATGCAGAATGTTTCCATCACTGCAGGAAGTTTCACTGGCAGAACTGCTTTCTTTCTTTCTTTATTGATGCAGCATGGGGGATTGAACTTAGGGCCTCAAGCTTGCTAGACAGGCACTCTTATCACTTGAGCCACTCCACCATCCTTTTTTTGTAATGGGCTTTTTTGAGATAGGGTCTTGCAAACTATTTGCGGGAGGCTGGCTTTGAACCATGATCCTACTGATCTCTGCCTAGGAACTCGGTCTGAGCAGCTAGGATTACAGGCATGAGCCACCACCGACCAGCCAGAGCTGCTTCAGAAATGAGGTAGGTCACTGCAAAGTAAGTTAGGCCCAAACTAGATCCTGCAAGAAAATGTGGCTGTGAGGTGTGTGGAAGAAACTGGGAATCACTGATGTGAAATAAGACAGTAGGTGTGTCACAGAACCCAAGAACCCAGGGTGCCAGGTTTTAGAACAAGAGAATAATTATGCAACAATAAACCTATTATATTTTGATCACGAGCTTTTCAACTAGTTTATTAGTTTGTATAGAACTTATTTAACCATTCCTTTCATTTTCTATGGAATGGTATATTCTCACACATACTCAGATCACATTCCTGCTGAATGAGATCATTTGTCATTTTACAAAGTCAAAGAAGTCTTTACAGCATAGCTGTAAAATGAATTACACCTATGTAGCTTTGAGAAGCTGCCCATCTCTAGATGTCAGGATCCCTGAAACACCTGCCTCACTCTACCAATAGTCTATACACAAGACACAAAGACAGCTACTTTATTCACCATCAAATATCCACTGCATATGCAGAATACAGCACAGTATCTAATTACTTACTAAATTCAACACACACACACTGGACATAGGTCCTTAGACATGAAATTCCATTTGAATAGGAATCCCTAGGTGGGGGGGGGGGAAAAGCACTCACAAAGTGAAACTCAGTTCCACTCCACAACAAGTAGTGTTTTGAGGCTAATAGGCTCCCCAGGAGCCTTAGAAATCATCCAGTTCACCCCTGATTTAAATATACCTAGGCACCTCTAGTTTACTGACTTCCACCAAATCCCATCTTTACTCACAGACTTTCACTAGAGTATCAAAGGAAAACATGGAAAGGAACCAAATCAAGGTGGCTGGTGCACCAGTGCAAACGTTTTCAAGATGAGTTAAGTTCCACTCACATGAATGTCTTCATGGGACATTCAGCTGGAAGACACTGCTTTTACTGACCAGATGCCTGAATGAAAGATCTGCCAGACAGAGTTAGTCATCCTTTTTCTGACCTCTCCCTGGTAAGCACTAGAAGACCAGTTTATAAGCTAGCTCCTTTCCTCCATTCAGAGCTGCAAGGTCTCTCTTCTTTCTCAGACTGAGGTCTACCTTGAGGACATTCATGTTATGTATCATCCAAACCATCTGAGTTCCCCAAGAACAAAGCTGCCAGTAATGGATTCCTTCCTGCCACAGTGTGCAGAACAGCAATTGAGTTTGTATACTCTGGAACCAGGTGCTGTCACTACCCAGATCTGTAACCTTACAAACCATTCCAAATGACTGAGCTCTCCAGACATGGGGATGATACTACTGAGGATTTAAGGGATATACAGCAACTTACAAATATAGGCACAGTAATCACTCAAATATTCACTAAAATGGAGCAATCAGCAATGGTGTGTTCAAGCTCGCAGTTTGGGAAAGCACTGTAGCTCCACACATTAAGGCTAACTCAGAAGAATGTCTGATGCTTGGCACTGCCATTTCAGAATAGTCATGAAGTAAGCAATAGAAGAATAAGGGGAGTTATCAAGCATCCATTTGGAAAATGAAGCTCCAAACTTTGGGGAGGGGGAGGTGTCCATTCTAAGCCCTGAACTTTTCAAAGGCTACAGTCAAAGATAAGCACTTCTAAAGCAGCTTTTTTTTTGGGTGGGACTGGGTTTGAACTCAGGACTTCAGACTTGCAAAGCAGGCACTCTACCATTTAAACCCTAGTCCCAAACTCTATACCTAAAGACAAACCTGCATTAAGGTGAATACTAGGGGCAGAGGGGAAGAACAACCAACCAGAGGGGGTAACTGGCTCTCAGACATACAAAGGAGAGAATGCGGTCACCAGAGCAAACAGGCCAGGAGATGTCCTATGAGAAGACAAGGATATGCAAGGTGCAGGCAGTATGTGGTACAACTCCAAATGGCCCAACAAAAAATCTACTCCAACACTGTAAGTCAAAATGCATTTCTGGAATTATGGAGGCATGTAAGTGATCGTCTTGAAATAGATGAGTATGAAGGTGGTGTTATTTCCAGGCAGATAATCTGTCAGCTCAATGGTTTCAAAGTGTCAAAGGGAGGGCTGGGATGTAGCTTGGTGGTACAGTGCTTGCCTAGCATGCGTGAGGCCCTGGGTTCGACCCCAGCACCAAAAAAGAAAAGACAAAAAAAAAAACCTCTCCCCTCAAAGTGTCAAAGGGATACAAATGAAGAGTCACATACGCAACTCTTATTATTTAGCAGCTTTATATAACACTGCTTCAAAGCCAAGTAATTTTTATGAAAGATTATAAATGAAAGCAACCTACACACAGATAGCACCTTTTACAAAACTCTGTTATGTACTTGATCTCTCTTAATTACAGAACAGAAAGGGGAAAGTGCTTAAGTTAACAGAAGTCATGCTTGTATAATAAGACTACAATTCAACTGAGTAGAGAAATGGGATTAATTAAAACTCATCAATGAATAGGGGAGATACCCACTAGTGTAAACAGATTTAATCTTCAAATATTAGAGATTAGGGAGAGGTGAGTGAGTTTGTAATAGGCACTATTAGAGTAATAGAGTTCTTTTCCATCCTGACTCCATTCTGCCCCAATTACAGAAGTACAAATTACTCAGATTTATGGTATTATATTTCTACTCCTCTTACTAGGCAGGGATGTGGGGAGGAAGAGTGGCATTTCCCACATGGCCTGCTGCAGTATGTTGATATTCCTGAAGGTAGGCATGTTATGCTAAAGAACGACACTTTCCCATAAACAGTCTTCTTCAGCCTGCAAGTTCAATTGTATGGCTGAACAAACTAAGAGACCACGGCCGTAAATCTTAGTTTCTAGGCTTACCCACATGCAACTCTGCAAATACATGATCAGGCTGTCAGGGGCCCAATGGGTTACCTGTGCAGCAGAGGCTCCAGTAGACACCAAATCCTGGGAACAGTTTTATGAAGAGAGCAGCTTAGGGAGGAGTCTGAGAATAAAGACCATTCTTATCCGCAGAAGTTTCAATACACCCATTCTGAAATTCCTCATCCCCGTGAAAGAGCATAAACTGAAAAGGTGGGGGAAAAAAACAGGGTCTCTGAGCAGGTTTACAACACTGACACAAAGGTAACCTGAGGACATTTGTAAAAATCTCTGGTGAAGTTTTATAAGGACAAAGCCAAATAGGTGCTAAAGACTGGTTTTGAGTCATAAATTTGTAAATATCTACAAAAGCAGGATGCATGTTAAAGTTTTCAAAATCAAGAGTCTTAATTAACATCACAAATCTCCAAACCTAAGAGTAAAATCCAGAAAATTAATTCAGAAACATGCTCCTTGGTACTTAGGGTTCAATGTTCATGCATGTGTGCATTTTTCTGGAAAGGATCCACAACATTCTACACATTCTCAAGGGATCCATGACCTCCCCTTAAGTTAAGAACTGATGCTCTTGCTTCACAAAGGGCGAGTTCAAACCTCAGTCCCACCAAAAAAATAAAAGAACTGATACGCTAATGAGAAGCAGGGCCGAGTCTCATTCTTGGCCATTGGACTCTCAATTTTGAGCCCCTTAAAGACTGAATATTTCCAACAGTGAGACCCATAGGAAAATTACTCTAATAGAACTCTAGGAAAATTATAACAGAACTTTAACACTTGTTTTTGATTATGGAAATCTAAGTAGGTCTTTCGTAATACTAAAGGAATGCCAAGTAGCAGATTTTACAAGGTCTTGACTATGGAAACAACAAATAGCAAAATTACAACTGTAGCTTTCAAAAGCATGGAAAAAGCTGAAGGTAGTGTAGTGAAACGTCCTCCATTACATTGTCATTCATGGAAGCCTTTACTGAAACTTCTTACCCACCTGGCTTCTAATCCAAGACTTTCCTGAAATTTCTTAGATAATCTCATCCTTGTGCTCCCTCAGTGCTATTTCCTGCCAAACTGAGTCCTAAGGCAGCCTAGGTCCACTTGCCCACCCAAATGACTCCTTCCAGAGCCCCTACAGCATACTTCTGTGCTGGACACAAGGCAAAATAAACCATGTCTTGCATTTCTTCTACCAGATTTGGAATACAGATCCATTACTGTCTTCACTTTATTTATTTATTTTTTTGAGACAAAGCCTCACTTATATAGCCCAGGCTGGCCTCAAACTCAATCCTGCCTCAGCCTCCCAAGCACAGCAATTACAGATGTGTACTTTACTCTCTTCATGAACAACTCATTTTAAAACTGATTCCAACTACTTCTACTTTGTGATCTAGTATGGAAAATGAGCTTCCCTTGTTCAGCCATACAAAATTTCTTGCTCCAAGGAGGTAGATACACTGTACTTCCATAATCTCTGTTCAACAAGTATCCATCTTGTATGCCTCATAGGACTAATGAAGAAATATGTTGCCACAGTTACTACTTGGAAGGCAGCTATGCTCACCACTATACCACCAATGCAGGCTACAGTTACTACTTGGGATGACTGAGTAGAGAACAGAAGACTACCCAAAGGTGCCTGCCTGACCCAAGGTAGCTTATAAAGTGGAATGGGCAATTATCCAACCCAGAATCCTCTACCATCAGAGAACTCTACTGGGAGTATACACAATCTTGACTTTGAGGGTCAAGGTCTATCAAGATAGAGAACAAGCTCTGAAGCCACCATTTGAGCCCCCGGATTCAGGTGTGTCTAAGTCTCACACCAGAATCACATCCCGTACGTGCCCCCCCCTTTTGGGGGGGAGGAGGGAGGAAGGAAGTTCTTCCTATTTAGTCCATGCTGGCCTTAATGCTGAAATCCTCAGGTTTCAACCTCCTGAGTGCTGAGATTATAAGTAAGCACCACCACACCACACTAACAAATTTCCTTTTGCTATAACTAGTTCATTACTTACACCCAAGAGCCCTAACTAATGTAGCCATTTCCTACCAGAACAGTCGTGTTAATAATAATAATTTTTAAAAGTGGGAAGAAAGCGCCTGAAAATAAAGGACAAATACCTTACCACATAACACACATGGCTCACACAAACAAGACACTCATATATATACTCGTTTGAGATCTGGGCACCAGTGGCTCATGCCTGTAATCCTACTACTCAGGACACAGAAATCAGGAGGATCTTAGTCCAAAGCCAACCCGGGCAAATAATACTCAAGACCCTATTTTGAAAATACCCAGGGCTGGCAGAGTGGCTCAAGTGGCAGAGCGCCTGCTTAGCAAGTGTGAAGCCCTGTGTGAAAACCCCAGTACCACCAAAAAATTAAAAATGAATACCTGCTCCAAAACAATGTCTAGACCTTCACCACTATATGCTTCTTCAACCACTTCCCCACATCTGTCTGAACAGCACTTACAACCCACTGAATTCATTTTATGATCCACAATTTGAAAAACATTTTCTCTTAAAATCCACACTCCAAAATTCTCTGGAACTCAAATCTACCTCACTTTACATATGAGGAACCAAGGCTCTGGTTCAAAGCCACAAGGCAGATGAAGTCTGCCCCCAGCAGCCTAAGTGCAACTGCTCAGGCTGATACCTACCACTAAGCATTGACTGCTTCTATACTCCATGTAGTTCTTTTATTTCAACCCTTACCATAATATCTACTCCCACAAAATATAAATTTCCTCAAACTGTATGGAAAATATTTCAAATGTAGTCTTCGAATTTAACTTACCTTCCTATTCTTTCACTCAAAACAACATCAAAGACCAAACCACCCACAGGCATGTACATGTTATTGCCTGAGGTACAGCAACTGGGAGAATTAGCCATAGTCAGAACATAGGAATTACTAATTGGTGTTTCTGGAAATTGCATAATACCAAGCCCAACAACACTTCTCCCTTGGCACTGGCTCCACACTGTGCCCATGTGGCTTGATGAAACAGAAGCTAGAAACAAATAAGGAATTTCAGCCTTGAGCGGAGACCAGAAGGGTGGCCATTGCAAAGTAGGAAGAGACTGGAGAACTGTTCTCACAGTCCTTTCGGCAAAGCAAGCACTCCTGGTCTCTACCTTTCCCACTTCCAAGGCATCTTAGTAAGTACATTAAGAAGTGTGGCCTAGATCAGCACCCACAAGATGCTACCTTTTATCTACCATTAATGCTTAGGAATACTGATCTCATTTTACAAAGGATAGAACTAAGGGATATGAAGATTACATAACTTGCCTGAGGTCAAAGACAGAAGGGGGAGGGGCTGGACCTCAACCCTGACAGTGAAGTCCACAACTCTTCCTTTCTGGTGCACAGCTCCACCCAAGTCCAATCAACCCTGCTTACTACAGCCCAAAGTCCCAGAGCCCTCCCACAACAGGCAGAACAGGCTAGTACATGTCAAAGAAAAGATCACAGAATAACCTATACCTAGGGTAAAGTAAAATACATCTATGTCATAGATCAAATATAAATGGCAAATTTATTCAAATTGTCTTAATTTGCAGTTAATGCTCAGATGATAATCTGAAAATTCTGAAAGAAATACATATTCCTACAGTACTTCTCATAAGCAAAATGTACCTCTAATGAAACTGGATCCCAAAAGTCCCTAGTAACAGTGAACCAGAACCAAACTGGCTCTTCCAGTCAAAAGGCCCAAAATCCAATCCCCAGCCTCCCAGTCAGGAAATCTACTTCCCTGCTCCATCCAGCTGCCTGGTTCACCCTATCAAACCCTTCCCAAGAACCAGAAAACCTTCACCAAGCCTAGTTAATACAATTCAAGCGGGAGCCAAGGAAGGTACAAGAGCGATGTTGTACCAGTACTCTAGTTAACCTTCATTCCACCAGCACTGGCTGGCTCCCTGGTCACACCAATGTTCTGAAAACCAGGTTTTCATAAAGTGGATTACATGTTAGGCCTGCCCCTGCCAGATCACTTTCCCAAACTCTGCAGCAAACATCCCAGGGTGGATGCCCTCAGAGGTACCACATTTCTACTAATTCCATTATCACCACTTTTAATCTCATCAGATAAAGCAAAGGGAATCCTTCTTTATTATCACCTGCTCTACTGGACTCTACTCACAACCTGCTTAGAAGAACACAAACATCCTTGGAAGGTACCCAGTTATATGCTTGGAAAACAAGCCCCACATCAGCTGTACATATCCCTGGCTGACAGTGGCTCTACTCTCATGCCTGGGTATCCTCTTCCCACTTCTACTCTTCACCCTGGACAATGACAACAAACACTTAACCTTGAGAGGGCACTGCACAGGTGCCAAGACCTGTGCTGTGTGCCCTCTGAGACACTCATTCTACCTTCTTCTGAAAGAGGAGCAAGCGAAGCTCAGGGAAGGATGAGAGAGTGACCAAAGGTCATAGGAATCAAACTGGGATCTGACTGTGCAGAGAAGTAATATCGATTTTTTAGTAAAAATGAGACAAGACTGGATGCTCAGAGGCTGCTCAGGTCCTCCAGTTACCTTCCCTAGAGCACTCAGATAACACTGGATTCCTTCCTATCCCAGCACCAGAAGACTTGACTTCAGGAAACAAAGTCCAACTCTGGGCAGGAGAGAAGAGAAAGGTCAAAGATCAAGCTCCAGAAACACTTGCTTCTCAGAATTCTTCAAAACACATTCAAGGGAAAAAAAAAATTGTTTTCACACAGTCATGTGTGTGTGTGGGGGGGAATGTTAAAACCCCACCCATAAAAACCACACACTGTTAAGCTCTGATTAAAGAAACAGAAATTCTGCTCAAGTGGTAGAGCGCCTGCCAGCATGAGGCCCTGAGTTCAAACCCCAGTACTGCCAAAAAATAAAAACAGTGCACATAAAGAAACAGAAATTCATGCAATCATTCTAGAAAAAACAATTTATACCAAGCTTTCAAAATACCATCTTTTGGGCTGGTGGAGTAACTCAAGTGGTAGAGCTTGAATTCAAACCCCAGTACTGTCAAAAAAAAAAAAAAAAAAAAAAAAACAAGAAAACCGCATCTTTTGATCTAATGGTCTATTTTTTGGAGATGAAAAAGAGAGACAATTTAATGTCCAAAAACAGAAATTATGGTACACTCATATAATAGGTGGGCATTCACTTTCAGAAATGCACAGATGTTCATAATGCACTATATTAATAAAACAGAGCTGGTAAAGAGAGGGTAGAGTGGCTCAAGTGTAAAGCACCTGCACAGCAAGCATGAGGCCCTGAGTTCAAACCTCAGTACTATGAAAAAGAAAAAAAAAAAATGCTAGCTACTTGGGAGGTTGAGATCAGGAGGACCGCTGTTTGAGGCCATACTGACTGGAGATGTGGCTCAAGCAGTAGAGCTTCTGCTTTGCCCTTGCAAAGCACCAAATTCAAACCTTAGACTCACCAAAAGTATAAAACAGAAGCATCATAAACAGGATTCGGAGATAACTTTTAACATCATTTTAACATTCTGTGCTTACTTTCCAAATTCTTTACAATAAATAACCACATTACTTTTGTTTAAAGAGAGAGAAAACAAAAACAAAGGCCAGGTCATGATGGTGCAATCCTGTAATCCCAACTACATGGGAGACATAGGTAGGAGGACCTCAGTCTGAGATCAGTCAACAGGCAAAAAAATACAAGATTCTATGTGAAAAATAACTAAAACAAAAAGGGCTGGTGATATGGCAGGCTCAAGTGGTAGAGTGCCTGCCTAGCAAACACCAGGCCCTAAGTTCAAACATCATACCTCCACCACCAACAAACCCTTACAATCTCATTTTCAAGCTACATGGATCAGCTAATGCTGTTTCCTTCCAGGGCACATACAAGAAATGGAACAGGTCAAGACTGCATGTGTACCTGAGTAGTAGAGGCTCTTTTGCCTAGCACAAATGAGGCCTTTTTTCTTTTGGGGGGAGAGGGTTGCGGTAGGTAGGTAAGATGGACTTGTAGCACAGATAGCTGCTTTGCCCTAACTCCAACACTGGTCTTACTCTTCATTTCTTCTGAATGGAATACATTAAATCATCCTAGGACTTCTGCTAGAACATAGGGATACAGTTTATATGTTGTTCCATCTGTCCCCCTCCATGCAATTTTAATAGAAGGTTAGCAGCCTATTCAGACTGAAAAAAAAAAGGGGCGGGGGGTTAAAAACACCCTTTACAATAACAGCAGTACAAATTTGAGGGACAACTACCAGACTGTCTCCTATGCACCAGCATTTCAAATTGTTGTGTAAGCACTAACAATAAAAAAAAGAATCAAAACATGCAGGCCAGCTGGTGGAGTGGCTCAAGTGGTAGAGCACCTGCCTAGCAAGCATGAGGCCCTGAGTTCAAAAACCAGTACCACAAGAAAAAAAGAAAACAATAGGCACTGTTAGCTTCCGCCTCTAATCCTAGCTACCCAGGAGGCAGAAATCAGGAGGATAGAGGTTTAAAGTCAGTCTATGCAAAATAGTTTGTGAGACCCTATCTTGAAAAAGACCCATGGCAAAAAAGGGCTGGTGAAGTGACTCAAGGTGTAGGCCCTGAGATCAAATCCCAGTACTGCCCTCCTCCCCAGCCCCGCCCCCCCCAAAAGGCAGGCCATACTACAACATGTCAGCAAGCTAACACTGTTAGGCTTTCATTTCCTCATCTGTTTGGATAGTCACCCTGCATTCCATCAAGCTTTCCTTTTAACCCTCTGTAAAAGCACTAGAAAGTCAATGCAGTTAGTCACTGCATCCTCAAAAGATTAAACACAATCACTCTATGATCTAGCCAATTCCACTTCTAGATATCTGCTCCAGAAAAATTAATAATGTCTATACAAATATTTATAACAGCACTATTCACAACAGACAAAAAATGAAAACGGCCCAAACATTCATCATTGATGAATGGATAAACTGCATGTGTATCAGGGCTGGAGGCATGGATCAAGTGGGAGAACTTACATAGCATTCAAGAGACCATGGGTTCAATCCCTTCAAAAAGGAAAAACAAAAAATACAGTATATCCATAATAATTTTTCAGTCACAAAAAGGAATAAAGTACTGCTTCATACTACACAGCATGAACCTTTTGAAAATATTATTATGCTGAGTGAAAGAAGCCTATATATATATATATATATATATCTCAAAAGGTCATATACTATATACTTACTGAAATAACAGGTAATGACAAATCTATACTGACAGAGTAGATTACCA